GAGATTGCACATTACAATACATTGTATACACATACTCCCATATGCTCAATGCATTTTCATTGGCCTATGTTTCTATCTGTCTATCTATCTATCTATCTATCTATCTATCTATCTATCTATTATCCATCTAGCTATTGATCTATCTTTAGGTAAAGATAAGGAAGTTCCAAAGAAGAGGAGATTAAAGCTGAACTATAAAAGGGACAAGTTAATGCTGCTTTGTAATCATTACTACATCATTACATTTATTTATTAAATTCAAGCAGTATAAGTACCTAAACTAGACTTGGTATAAGCCGCTTACTGTCTACTGTACAATCTGTACAGCAGAGCCCAGACTGGGGAGGGAGAAGCAGCACAAGAAGCCAATGAGATATACTGCAGCGCAGGAGCATACTGATAGAACAAGGTAGAAGAGTGACAGAGGGATGAGCTTATTGGTGTCTTGCTTATTATTCATTGTCCAATCACAGGGTTGGGGGGGGGGGGGGGATTAAACTACAGCAGATAAATGGCAGACAAGGCTGTGCTGTAGGGTAGTGTTGTATGAATTTTGAGGCCTGGATAGATAGAAATAACAATCCTTTGGCAGATAAACATTAAGTTCAGCTGTAAAACTAAAAACAGATACAGCAGACATTTATTTGAATGCTTCTATTAATGGTAAACCAGCATTGTAAAAGGGTGTGGTGGGGCAACCAGCATTGTAAAAGGGTGTGGTGGGGCAAATTAAAAGGAAATGCCTAACAATATAGCAGTGTAAAGGACCTAATAGTGTGTACGCCTTGCGCTTGTTAATTAAATTCATCCATTCGCTTTTTCTGAATGTAAACCCATCTGGATGCTGGGAATATGGTAAATAATAACTCACTGGACCATATTACATTTTCCATTGCCCAGGGGTCTGGGTGCTGTGCTCCTTACAACAGGTTATATAGCTGTGTCTTATGGCCTTGGATAGAAGCCGTTTTTAAATGGCATTCCTGCCATAAATTTGAGCTTGGTGACACTCACAATGTGTAGTTATTGTTAAAACTAGGTCATGGAGATGCTGATTCAATTCTGTGATGGTTTAGGAGGCTTTCATGTGGCAAATAAAACTATTTTGTTAAGTGCCATCCGCCCCTGAAATCTGACTTGCACTGCTATTGTTTTTTTCCATTTTTCATTGGCATATTGAATCATTTTCAGATTTATTTATTTTTTGACCAAAGAATCTGAATTTCAGGCACTCTGGAACTCCGCTAGTTAGGTTTCCACAGAATAATATAGGAAATAACAAAGCGCTAACTGACAAACCTGTTTTGCACCTGGCACTATTTACTAAAGGAGTAGAGACTGTTCCCTTTACAAAGTGAAAGTTTACTGAGCTTAGTATAGGGGGAAGCATGTGATTGGATGATTAACGTGAACACAGCATTACCTTATTTACTAAGCGCAGTGAACATTCACTAAGTGAACATTATCTATACCTTTATTAAATCATCCCAATACTGCTAATTGGCAATCAGCCCAAAATGATTCTCCCAGCTACTATTGTGATTTAGTTACTTCTAAACTAAACTCCTTATAGAAGTAGTATTTGTTCTTTTCTTTTGTTTACCCCTGAAGATATATACAGTTGGACATTGAGAGCCAGACGTTAAAGTCCAACTCCAGTTAAACAAAAAAGTAACATATATATATATATAGATATATATATATGATTTTGCCATGTTCTTAACCCCGTGTATTTGGAGACAATATGACATGTATTGTAGATGGGAACAATCCAAATATAATAACATTTTTTTGTAAATATAATAGATGCCTCTTGGTGGGTTAAGGTACCACATCCATATTATTCATATAAGATTTCAACAATTGTATTAACGTTTTTGTGATACCATTACAGTCTGACATACTAGTGCTAGTTAAAATCCTATAACAAAATTTGTTGTTAAAATTGAAAATTGCTTAGCAAATTGTTTCTTTCTTGTGTGTTTCTTTAACATTCTCAATTATTATTGCAAAACTGTCACCTACCAAAAACACATCATTAACCCTATGACTGAACAAGGAGCGTATGTAACAAAACATCAAAACATGTTAAATTGGCTGTGTATTACAGCTGTTTAGTTCCTTCTACATTCACTAACTGTCCTGTGCATGAATCATAGGTAATCTAGGCACATTTGAATGTGCACGTATTCGGAACTGATACTAAACTGCTCATTTATTTTCACAGCACATGCTCTGTGTGTATGTTATATTTTGCTTGCTTGCTTCAAATATTTCTAGAATAGAGCACAGAGCACTGGCTAGCTCAGAATGATGACTTGTGGCTTAGAGTATTAACTTTTCCCATCATATTTCATACTCAGGAAGAAGGAAGAGAATTAGACAGCTGATTACTCATACAAATCTCATGGACCGCTACCTATATAATACAAAAAACGATTTGTAGTAGTATGACTGGATAGACTTTTCAGTTATGTGTTAGGTTCCTGCTGCACGCTTTATTTCTTTAGGTTGACCATATGCACATTGAGAGGTAGACGTGTCTGACTGAGCACAATGTCTGCCCATCTTCCTACCCCCCAAGACCCGCTGCAATGTTAACTGGCTATTAGCCCCAAATACTAAAGGAGAATAGGCACCTAGCACATTGAGATATTTTAACAAGCTTAAAAAAAAAACATTTCTGCAGCATCATGGTTATTCGGTTATGGTTCATGGTATTTTATAAACAGGAATTAAATCTTTATAGATAATAAATGACTCACGCCTAAAACGGGATTGCATTGTTAAGGAGCAGACTGAGATACTAAAATATTGTTTTTATTTTTTGCATTCATGTAGTGGAAAATTACAGGTTTTGGTTCCTGTTTATTCAGATCTCTGACAGTTTTGCAACAATATGTAATTATCCAATTGTGCCACAAAAAATATATATTTTCTTTAAATGTTCTTTTATGAACATTTGTGCATGACTGGATAATTAAAGTGATCACAGCAGATACCAAGCACATTGAACATTCACCTTGCTAAGTGAACTGTCTCTACTCCTTTTGTCAATACTGACCATCGTAAAACAATCATAATAGTTCCCAATCATGTGATCACTATGTCAGCTCTGACATAGTGATCACATGCAGGCTGAAGGCTTCATTGACAGAAATAAACACCTTAAGCTTGCAGATGAACACTACCACCTTCAGGCTGCAGTGTTTATCTGCAGGGCCATATATTTATTAGTTTAACTGCCAAATACAATTGCACTATTAAAAATAAGAATACACATATTAAAGGTTGTTTTCTTACATTTGTGTGCACGTGTCAGGCTATAATAAAAACAGAGCAGGGTTTCTTTTATTAAAACAATGTAGCAAAAATGAGTTATTGATAAGTTTTTTTTTAAGTTGACACTGCTAAATTTGACTTGGAGGTATCAATGACCTCTGGTCATGAAAGAGTTAAACATAATTACCAAAATTTTTGTCAATATGTTCAAACTAAAGATTTTGAATTACACTTTAATATATACAGTATATGTGTATATTTTAGCAAATTAACAGAAGGCGGTATAGTAGTGATTTTCTTAAGCACAAAGTGGAATACCTGTTCAACCAGTACATTGGAAAAGCTTTTACCTCAGTGTTTCCTTTACTATAGCACTTAGCAATTTATACAGTAAATATATAGTAAGTATAGAGCATTAGGAATGCAAGTGTATATAAGATCTCAGTTTCTGTTCAGGTGTGGGTAAATTTACATAGATTGCGTTCAATTTACAAAAGGTTTACTGCTATATTCTCATCAAAAATACCCTAACAGGCCCAGGAGAATTTTAAAAAGCAGAGTAAGAATTTTAAAAAGCAAGTATGTAAGAGATGAGACTCTTTACTACAAGTAAACTGTTGTTTGAATATCTCTTAATTGCATTGCATTTCCTTTTGCTGGTAATCAGTAAACGCTGCTATATATTACAGGCTCTTGTCTGAAAAACTAAGGCTGCCCATGTATCATATGCAACTTACAAGCAATACATGTTGTGCTACAATTGCATGCTTCATTTTTATGGAACATGGACACACTGCTTACCAAGAAGATGTTGAAAAAGACAAACATGTTTACGTACCCACAAAACATGATTTTCCTGTTCTGAGGCACATTTTAAGATTATGTAGTACTATATTTAGAACGGTAAATACATAGACAGATAGATAAGTAGGTCGTTATGAGCATAATGATTTGCAAATAGGGTTCATAAGAACATTGTAAAATGTCTTATTCTTCTTCATACATGCATCTAAAATTGTTCATTCCGTAGAAAATCATACAATTTCTGAATCATGTTTGTCTACTTTCCGGTTTGCATGATTGTACACAGATCAGATAGATCTACATAGTGACTTGGTGATAGATAGTTAGAGAGACAGAGAGGCAGACCGATAGATGGGTAGATAGGCAGATAGATTAAAAAAAATAGAAATATCTCATGTTGTTTTAACAACTCTGAAATATTGAATTTATTATGAAACTATACAAATGCTATTTAACTTTCCCCTATGTTTACTATATTAGATTGTAAGTTCTTTGTTGCACTTACAAGTTTCTTTTATCAGTTTTTGTACCAAATCATTTTACTTGCCCAGAGTTTTTATGTATCTGTTTCTAAAAGCATTATGCTTTCTGCCAAAATCTTCTGAAATAATAATAGTATCGTGTATGGAAAAAGTAAAGGAAAAATATGTGTCAATATATAGCAATATGCAGTGTGTAGCAATAAATAATAAATATACAGATGTTATGTGTTCTGTACCGTCATCTGTTTGCTCACGCATAGTCACTGCTGGAATTTATCTAACAATAGCAGAAAGGTGATTCTGAACATGTTTGGTATGGCTATGATTAGCAGGCCAAACATGGAGCACAAAACATTTTAAAGTAGCTTTGCATTAAATGATATTACATTTGTGCTAGGCAAAAGGTTAATCCAGCTTATTGTTTTGAATTAGGAGTACAATAGATATGGCTGGTGGGTAGGAGAAATGAAGGGAACCATTGGCCTGGTGCCTAAAGCGTACATAATGGAGATGTATGATATTTGAGAGGCCTGGGTAAGTACATTTTAATCCAATCTACCATAATGGCTCATGTGTTCTCCTGCTCTCTGTTTTATAAGCATTTCCTTCCTAAAACCTCTGCTGCTGTTATATTAACTTAAGGACTGTTGCAAAAAATAGCTTTTAAGCCTTAATTAATACTGCTCCATTAGTTGTCTGCATGCAATAGAATCCCACATTGCAATGTCGGAGCAGTGAGCTTATCTCTTCCTCAGCTTGCTACTGAATATTGCCTTCAATCAAACATTATAATTAATTTCTGTCTTGGATACCGCGATCTTTATGATAAACCAATTGCATCAGCTCTTCTTCGCTCATGTCCGTTTTATCACTTTTTTTTTTGTTACCAGGAACCGTCTTTTATTAGGACCATTGAAAGGGTATCATCTCGAGCTTCATTTACTTTGTGTGGATTTTAGGTGTTTTCATTTGATATGTGAAATGAAAAAATGTAAATTTTTTTAATGACGTTTTTGTTCTATAATAATATGTGTTTTTACGATGGTTCGGATTATTATGGCTCACAATGCATCATTTTCTACACCTCTTTTATTATTGTTACAAGTCATTTTGTGGAAATCAAACAAAGTAGAAAATCTATTGAATAGCATTCCCTTCTTAGTGACGAAAATGATAAACATTCTAAAAACTAAAAAACGAGAGTTGCTTTTTCTAATCAAAATTCCAAACTTTGTAAACATGCTTAAAAAGTGCATGAACATGACTGTTTATTAATGTCACTGTTAATATTCCTAGGTAGTACACGCGTATAAAAGACTCACTAAGTACTTACTACGTTAAGTTTTGTTGCAAGGTTTAAAAACTCCATATGTCTAAAACTTTAAAATGAGATCCACATTTTTTTAGGAAATCCCAGTTGGTCGTAAATCAGCACCAAATGTGGTTTTACGGCCCTGTCATACCATCTCCGGACCAGATCTTCACGCATTTCTGCAAACGTCGTGCATATTGATGCGTTTGTGACACATTTTTGATGCGTTCTGATGCATTGTTTTTTTTAGGGGGAAATGTTATTATGCTCCATGCCATAGCACTTCCTCTTGTTTGTGTGAGCTCATGAGGAGACATGTTTGATTTGTATGGAGGCATGTTCTTTGTGATGGCTATTGGAATCCTGAAACAACGTGCTCACAGGAGACCTACATCAAAAGAGCAGCATACATGCAACCAGTGTGCAGCTACATAAAAAGAGCAGGATCCATGCAACCAGTGTGCAGCTACATCAAAGGAGCAGTATACATGCAACCAGTGTGCAGCTACATCAAAGGAGCAGTATACATGCAACCAGTGTGCAGCTACATCAAATGAGCAGTATGCATGCAACCAGTGGGCAGCTACATCAAAGGAGCAGCGTGCATACAATCAGTGGGCAGCTACATCAAAAGAGCAGTATGCATGCAATCATGATACATGAAGTGTTTATACTCACAACAGCACTCCTTTTTGACTCTTCTCATGCGTGTAAAATCAGGATAATATTTTGACGCAATTGAACGCCATTTATCAGTCCTGCGTGTATTGCTTGTGTAGTCAGGGGGTCTTGGGTCGTATAGTTCAGGGAACTTTTTTTTTCTTTTCTTCATTCTGTTGTGTTCCAGTGCGGTGTGTTTGTGATGCGTTCTGGTGCAGACAAAATGTGACAAGCAGTAATTTTTTTTCCTGCACTGGAATGGACTGCGCTGGTGTGAACAGAGCAAAGAAATCAAATACAAATGCATTGAGATGCATTTTTGGTGAGTAAGATAAACGTAACGTACTGGATCTGATCCGGACATAGTGTGAATGGGCCCTGAATTAAAGGAGTAGTGAAAGTTCACTTAGCTTAGCGAGTACGATGAAGCTATCTTTACTTTGAGAACCCAATCATGGCCAAGCGAAATTATTTTTAAAAAAAACAGGATTTTATACTTAGTGAACAGTGTGCATTTTTATTTCAAGAATTATATAGTTGCTACCAGCATTATGGCAGCTTTTGCGGTTCTCCTAAAATGATAACTTGTGTGGTTTGTTTAATCAGATCACGAATATGAGGAAGAAAATGAATTTACTCTTTTTGCTCTGGGGCTGTTTAATAAATGTTTTAAAGTATAATAAAATCCTTCTTTAGATGAAGTTTGGTTTTGTTCATTTTATTATAATGTATCATTTTTATTATGTTATATATTTTAATAGTTCTGCAAATTAGAGTTTGGTTGTAGTCTGCTTCATGTTAGAAGGTTAAATTGCTTATTTTAGATATATTAGGTTGTGATTTTAGGTTCATGCATGCAGCGACCAGCAGATGGCAGATGTTTGATAGAAATGTAAGCATTTTTTTTTGTACATCCCATCCCCCTACATAATTTATTTTTATAGGCACCCATAAGCAAATTTACTTCTACCAAAAATCTATGTTTCTCTTTACTCCTGATGCCCAGGAGAGGGAGTCCTTCCCCAACTCATAATCCCACCGTCTTGACCTTTGGTTCACTTTTTAATTTTAACCCCCCCCCCACCTCCCCACCACCTTTTTATGACTTCTATTTTTTTCATTTAACCCTAAACCTGACCAAGCACGACCACTTTCAGATTCCAAGTACTTCTTTCACCATAACAATCTCATAAACATCTAAATAAAAAATCTATTGATTTTTTTTCAATCAGTTATAATTTCTTGTGATTATGTTTTTATACAATCCAGCCAAATAAAAAAAAGCCTCTTTGTTATATTCAACAAATGCAGTTATGCAGTGTATTTAACTGTTAAGCGTTGGTGATGTTGTATACTGTGCGCTGTGCTTGGCTGCCTAAGTGTTCCACCCTGCAAATTTCTAAGGTTCAAATAAAGTTTAATTGTTTGCGAACCTGTTATGATGCTAATAATTCAACAGCCTGCTGTGTTACTAATGAAATTACTTTGTTATGATTAATTTGGAAAATAGTGTGTTGATTGTAGTAATTAAGCACAACAAGGTGAAGTAAATGATTCCATTGCCATCTGGCCTCCAAGCACAATGAAGAAGTACAGTGCTGCTGTCATTCAGAATGGATTCAAAGAAGTTGCAACGTCAAGTTTCTGATTACATATTTGGACTTGCATAAACTCTGCAGCAAAACAAAATATTACAATACTGTGTGAATCTTAAAAGAAAAAGGTTTTGTGGCAATGATACGCTGTCAGTTTGTGTTCCTTTTTTTTCAGCAAATGTTTATATTTAAAGCTTACAAACAAGTTTTTTTTTTATAGCACCAACCTATAATGCAAGATTTTAAAAGGAAATTAAAACCAGGTAAAGAAAACTTGGACATGCTGAAGATTTATGATTACAAGTAATTTATTTTTCCTCAGTCTATCATTGTCTGTATTTAACAGACACAAAGCTGTGTCGAGAGCATCCTGCCCTATACAACCTTTTCAAATAGAGATGTAGATGAAAACCGAAAGCAATAAGTTTATTTTAAACTGCCGATTACTCAGCAATGGTGTCATGATTTTACTAAAATAAGTTGCTTCAAAATGCTTTACAAGGCTGTTAGTGACATGTGACAGTTTTGCTTTCAATCAACTTTAGATCTAGCATAGGCTGTACAGAAAATGTGATAACGTGAATAGTTGTTTAAAATGTGTTTTTGTTGTTTGCTCTAATGTTAATATTTCATTGCCCAATTTTATATAGATATATATATATAACAAAAATAAACTGTGAACTGTTTAATATAATAATATTAATATTAATAACAATTTGGAAATAAAAATCCTCAGGCTGAAAGACAGTTCTGCAAATAAATCCTCTGGTATACATATATTTACAGTTAGGTTTATAAAATTTGACTGTGAAAATAGTCATAGTCATATAATGTTGGCACATGTCTTCTCAGCTTAATTTAAGGGTCAGCGTGTTTTTGTTGGTTGATTTAAAGATGATATTTCAGTATGGTTACGGCTCAGATTTCCCCTTTTACAATGAATATTTATCTATCAAATTAATCTACATAGGGGTCAACTGGCTTTTCCGAAGCAACGTGTGCTAATAAATTACACACAAAAGCAATGAATGGACCAATATCATCATACACAATAATAACAATAATTATTTACAAATATGCTCAGACAGTTCAGTGAAAGCTGAAATATAAAGTATGTTCATGTCTCTGTTGATTCCTACTAGACTTGATATGACCACAGAACTCGCTGCACAGGCACAGTGTGCCCAGGAGCCGTCTGACAAAATGTGTCTGCTTCCTACTGACCCAAATATCGAGCTATCAGTAAATCAAAGCAGCAGTAGTCCTCGCTGAATGACATCGATATAGGAAACCTCTGCTGCTGCCCTATTATCTTGCAGCAGCACTATGATTGGTGCTTCCCAAGAGGCTTTGCAGCAGCTGTAGACCTTTGCTGTACAAAAAAAGGCTTACTGTGATACTCCTCATAAACATCCTTCTAGTAAGGAAAAGACGGAGGCTGAGATGAGATATGCTTCTTTGCTCGTTTTAAAGGTTAAATATACAGAAATCTTGAACAAAAATTTGCTGAGGTATCATTATTTTGCCATTTCCATGTATGACAGTTTTTTTTTTTAAATAGGATATCCCATTTATACAAGATTTCTCATTATACAAAATGGCATAAAGGAATAATATTCACAGACCTATTTAGAGCTAATGGTTACCAAGATCCTAGTAAAATAAGGTTCATACATTCTCAATGCAGCTAGCATTTGTGTTTCAAATCTTTACCCGGAAAACTGCCATTGCTCTCCTAGGTGTGTGTCTTGCGTATATGAGCTAGTGACTGGCGTGGGTGCGGTAATGCTAACTATGATGATGATTATTTTTGCTATTATACTTTCCTTTTAAAGTATAAAGTGCTGTTTCAGTATATATTATGCAGTAATTTATATAATATTTTAAAGAGATGCACATGACAAATAATAGACAATACATGCATAAAATCATGACACAAGAGGTCCTGCCACAATACAGTAGATAAGGCAAATAGCAAGGGTGGGAACTGGTTACTCAGCAAGACTCAGGATAGAAGGAAACATAGGGAGGTAGTTTTGGCAGGGTGGGTTTTACACTAGGTAGAATGTAGAAGGTATAGATTGTTAGTTTAATTTTGTTATGGTAAGCTTTTAGGTACATCTCACATATTCATGAAGAACTGCCTGATAAGCTATTTGAAATGATTGTACAAAAAGGTGAAGTCAGATGAGGAGTAGATAGGTTTATATGGGTGTCATTTACACACAAATGGTATTGAAAGTGAAAAGAAAAGTGAAGTTTGCCACGAGTGAACTTTGACATACTTCAAAATGCTACACAGGAGAAGAAATGAGGCCTTAAAGAATGAGGAAAACCACGAAAGAGCATTGTCCTGAATTCC